AAAGGGGCGGGGGATTTTGCTAGTTAACTCAATACGCAAGAACATGCTCTACGTACCAACAATTTCTATAAAAAGAGACAAGCTATTGAAAACTAAGTTGATGAAACAAGGATATCAACAGTCCCGTTAAAAGTCAACATTTCGCAAATTCTATGGTAGATTCAATGACCTTGTTAGCATATACAATCTATCGTCAAGTCGAAAAATGACTGAAGTTTTTTTATACATTTTACTTACACTTGAAGTGACATTAATTGGCGTCGGAAGCAAATTGAAAGGGAGGTGGGGGGGGGGGCTAAACCAATAAAAAAAGTTTGTGGGGCTAGCCCCAATTTTCATTGCCTATATTATTTCTATCTATGCAAGGGGGGGGGGGGGCTAACCCCCCCTTCTCCTCCGGTTCCGATGCCTATGAGTGATGATAAACAGAAATCCTCAACCCCCCTCCCACCCCCAAAAGTGTTTTCTGACGTAGACGTATCACATCCTCTAAAATAATTTCACATTTTTGGAAAACTGCTTTAAAGCATATAGGCTGCATAGACAAGATATCATCTTTATCCAATTGACAAATTTGACAATACTTGTTTTATATTATCTATACTTTCTGCAATAGACTCACTGTACTCAATGCAATGATATTAACCATTCTGTAACATATATTTACCGATCGCTAACAGGAGTTCATTAACTTGGAGACATGTTCTATTCCTTGCATTAATTGAGTCAATTTAAATAATTAACATTCAAAAAGTTGCAACATTTGACTTTTGACTGTGCATGCACAAAAGATTTAAAGAAATAATTTTATCTATAGCAATAGTTTCATTTCAGGACGGATAATAATGCTTATAAATAGCAAATAATACACATTTATGAACTAGGTTCTCGGGAAACATGCGTTTTATCGGACCCAAGAACCAAACTGTTTGCCTGAGGCCGTAAGGCCGAAGGCAAACAGTTTGGTTCGAGGAGTCAACAAAACGCATGTTGACCGAGAACACAGTCAATAAATGTTTTGTTATACGTTTTATTTTTATTTTTTGACATACATGTGTCTTGTGCTGGCATCCATGATGTAAATTTATGTAGATTTATATAGCAATCATCTTTTTCTTAAAAATATAACGAACAGGTTTATCGTTTCTTCTAATATTTTTGCTATTGTAGATTAATCTATTGTTTCTTTTATTTTTTTCCCTTTTAACTCCTCTGAGCTACTTTGTTACATAGACATTAAACCTTGTCATTCTGTTACCCCATAACGATAAAGATGACCTCTATTAATTCTGAAGTCACAAGGTCAAAGTGCAGGGGTGAAAATATAAATACATGTAGAAAGATATTGGCTGCTCAATAGCAAACTTCTCTATATATAGGAAGAAGTTTGCATATTATCTTTAGAACCCTTTGCTTGACAGTCATCAAGCTTTGACACTGGTTTTTCTCTAGAAATAAATGACACCTATTGATTTTGACACCAAAAGGTCAAGATATAACCTACTCTGGAGTCTGGACTGGAAATTGTCTGCTTAATATCTTTAGATTCCTTTGGTAGACAGACATCAAACTTGGCATACTGTTACCCTACACTTTAATGAGTGGATTGTCCTATTAATGCTGAGGTCACAAAATCAAGACTCAACCTGGACAGGAAGACATAGACTGCTCTATATCTTGAGAACCCTTTGCTTGATATACACTTGTTCCCCCTTAAGAGTAGATGACATCTTTTGAGGTTCCCTCTTAAGAGTAGATGACATCTTTTGAGGTTCCCCCTTAAGAGTAGATGGCATCTATTGAGGTTCCCCCTTAAGAGTAGATAACATCTATTGAGTTTCAGATCGCAAAGTTAAAGGTCAAGAGTCAAACTACTCTAGACTTAAGAAGCCTTTGCTTTATAGTCATCTAAATTTGATCACTGGTTTTCCTTTATAAGTAGATGATGCCTACTGATTTTGAGGTCACAAGGCCAAAGATCAATCTACTCTGGATATGGTATGATATTGTCCACTGAATGTCTTGAGAATGCTTTGCTAGACAGATACCAAACTTGGCATACTGGTACCCCCTAATGTATATATTACCCTTATTAATTTTGAGGTCACAAGGTCAAAGGTTAAGGGCCAAAAAACACTGAACATAGGAGATATTGTCAGCTCACTATTTTGAGAACCCTTTGCTTGACAGACATCAAACTTGGTACATTGGTACACTCTGAGAATTACCCCTAATGATATCAAGGTCAAATAGAGATCAACCTTAGTACATGTATTATGTTTGTCCCTGGCTAGTAAATAACATTAAGTTTGATACTAGTAACCCATTTTTTTCACTATCATTACAGACATTCTCAATTTAACTCGTTTTAATATTACCACATAGGGGGCATGTACTTTTCTAAAAAAAATCTTGTTCAGAGATAATTTTTAATCTTTTTGCTCATTCAATGTAAAGTCAACAAAAACTAACCAATCTTCATTAGATAAATGACTAATTTTAAAACTCTCTAACAGAGGTTTCAATGAGAAAGATAAGGAATCTTGAATATTAACTCATTATCTATTTACAAACAGGTAAACACACTGTACATCATTCTATTGTTTAATATAAGATAATTAAAAAGCTATTTATATCTAAAAAAGTAAACGATTCTCTAATACTTGATGATTATAAATTTATTTGTAATGTGATTTTACCAGATACATATGAATTCGGTGCCACATTGGGTGTTAATTGCAATTACTAAGGGGTAATATACAATAAATAATTTTTTTAATTAATTTTTTCCTTGCCACTTTCTTATGTTTCCAATAAACAAAGATTTAGACTTACACATTGAACACTTAAGCTTTCCTGGACTTTGTAGACCTTCCAATTAATTTTGAGAATATCTTTCACACATCTGCACAACTCAAAGCTGGCTTGAAGGAGAGAAACAAAATGTTTTTGCATGTGTTAGTGTCTCCCAATTTAACCATGGTTTAACATGAAATCTTTAATCTAATACATGTACAAATTCATTGACATGAATACTGTCATCTGATTTAGCTATTGTCAGTTTGATGTGTCTGAGAATAATTTGTAAAAATCATGAGTTATGCATGAGCAAGTGCTATGTATCAAATGATTCAGATGCGAAAAAATTTTTACTTTCAAAATGTTTTAAATTTTGAATTTATTGGGTGAAAGTATCGTCATGTACTTTACTACATTTTTTTTTTTTAATTTTATTGAAACCAGACAGAGTGACAGACTTGCCTTTTTTAAATTTGAATGAGATGACATGCCTTTGCTCTGGACCAGGCCAACTCAACTTTTCATCTAAGGTCTTCAAACCCTCCATTTATTTTTAAATTTTTACTTGTATTATTTATCACATACTTCAACTTCCTGAATATAAGTCCATCCTCTCAGAAAAGGATATCCCATATATATATATATATATATATATAAAAGAAAAATCCAATTTTTGGTACAGTAAAATACTGATATATTCAATGAAAAAATCAAGAATCACAAGACTCGAATAATCATTTTAACTGTAAGCGCTTTCTGTCTTTTACTGGCTCTTCAGACAGTTACAATATATATATATATATTTATATATATACTCTCAGGGTATCCACCAGGAAGGGGGAAGTTGTTTTACAGGTCAGATAAAACACATTCAAGGTCATGGCTCTGCAATGGTTTGGGCCATGAATATCAGCCTGGGTAGCTCAGTTGGTAGAGTACCTGACTAGTAATGCAGGGGTCCTGGGTTGGATTCCCGGTCCAGCCATACATTTTCTCCTTTCCTGTTTCAGCTCAAAAAGGTAATTTTAGTACTGGTCTGCTATAAAATGTTCAAGATTTTGTGTCACAAAGATGTATATTCATGCACAAATAAATAATTGGACTACTTGGATTCCATGATCCTTCACTATATATCATCTTAAACCTCTTATTTTAAATAATGAAAGGGAAAAAAACCCCCACACCAGTTCTTGCATTAATGAATCAATACAGTTGACCTTTGACCCTAACATTAAAATCTAAAGATGAATTCTTTCTTCCTACTATTTAGTAAATGGGTAGCTTAAAATAGTGTTCAGGTTGCTGCATCCATGAAATGGTCAGTCAAGGCAATAATCTTAATCATTGACCTAGTTATCCCAAAATACATGTATACAGGTGTCTAACTGAATATATCCTCTGTATAGTAAATAAGAAGTCAATTTCCAAGTTACTATATCACATAAATGTATACTTAAATTTGACCTTTGATAAAATGACCCAAAGGCAATCTAGGCATCCACCTTTCACCATCATCCAGGTACACAGAATATATACATGTGCTGTGTAAACATAACAACAAAAATTGTAATTATTTTCTTCATTTAAAAAATAATGTAACAATGACCGGTATCGAAGGAAAGAATTTATCATATTATTACCTGACTATTCAATAACTACAAATGAGTAATTACATGTATATTTTGTATAAGAAAATCAACAATAATTATCACAAAAATCAACAAATTAATTGCCATGTAACATAGAAGGCACTTCTACATATATCAAGTATCATGCCATCTGAATACATATTGTGATACAGGTATCTAAATAATCACGTTAAAATCAATTCATATTTGATTCCATAGTAAATATCACGATTTATAATTTGTACTAAATTTAATGATAATTTAACGATTTCAATCAAAGAAAACTCATTTTTCATACATACAACCTACAACTTCAATACACATCTAGACTCTGATAAATTTCACAAACTTTAATTTAAAAATCTGCTTGGATAAAAATTTGATGAGATGGGGTCTTGATTCAATGCTATAATTTGTAAAAAAAAAATAAAAAAAAAAAAATGTACAGATATGTTTTGTATGCTATATATATATATATATATATATATATATATATATATATATATATATATATATATATATATATATATATATATATATATATATATATATATATATATATTTATGTATGTATGTATGTATGTATGTATGGTTGTGCACTGTTGATTATAAAAGCATGTTCAAAATGCCTAAGTCTACATTTTATGCAAATATTTCTTTTCGTAAAGTTCAATTTTCCCTAAAATCAGTTGTTATGAAGATGTCAAAAAATTCTGTGTCTAAAGCAATGACATGTACAAATCACATGATAATTTCAGAGATTTTGTTTTTTCTTCAATAAGTCCAAAAGCCAATTTCTCTTAAAAAAAAAGTGCTGTTTGTGGAGTCGATGCATACACCATTACAAGTCATCTTTATGGTGATGATGGTGGCAGAAATCTTTATTAATCTCAAGGTATCCCTGTATATGAATGAAAAACAAAATATAAAGAACTTATCATCAGTAGAGGGTGTTTATTTTATCTGCTGAAAATTATGATTACATAAAGCAATTTCATTAGAATATCAGGAGTGCACAGAGGAATATTTACAAGCTTATGTGTTTATCTTGCTTGTTAAAAATTAAGCAGCTAAAATGGAGAATTAGTTTGTGAAGCATTGGTTGCAGATCAGAAATGTATTTGATCATCACTATGTCGAGTCATAAAACATAATGGAACATAAAAATGATAAGTACTTATATTTTACACTGATAATTTATATGTTAGCAAAACAAAAATGACATAAAAAATAAGAGCAGGTGTTACATCACACTATACCTGAGAATTAAAGCATAAATTTTATGCATTTAAAAAAAGACCCTCTCTTTGTTGTGCATATTGCCTCGATTAATTAAATCTATCCCCAGTGACTTCAAGTTTGTCTCCAGAAAACCCTGTAAAAAAGTTCATAGAAAACACAAACTCAATAGCAATGACAAGCATCAATCACCATATTTTTGTCCAGTTACCCCAGTGGTCATCTGGTAGGCATTTGAACTTATCTTATAAAATATTCCTCTAATTAAACCCACTGACAATTGATCTTTTTTTTTCAACATGGACAATCAAAATACTGATGCTTGATATAAAGATCTAAAAGAAATCAACTCTATGTGTACATATTTTTGCATTTTGAGAATTTGGCACAATCAAGTTCTAGGAACATGTATTATACTGTCATTTCATAAGTCATATTTTGACAATAATCATGAATTAGCACACTGACATTAAAGAATTGCACCAAAGGCAGTGAAATATGAATCCTGCTTAAATAAGTACACATACAGGATATTTAACATAAGATTTGAAAATAACATCTGAATATAAATGGAAGAAGTTTATTTGCAGTATGTCTTGCATTTAGTTACATGCATATGAAGATACACTGATGCACATGGATCATGAAAGTGCAGATGTATGCACATGCATCATGAAAGTGCAGATGTCAATATTTATTTCTTGACTAGTGAATATTCGGAAAAAAAATCTTTGAAGATAAACAAAGAAAGATAACTCTAACTTTTTATCCATTCAGCTATCTCTCACAACTTACACTATTATTCCAAAAACCAATAATCTAGTAATGCACCACACTGCAGATACATCTTTGTTAGTAGTTGTAAGTAAAAACTGAACTCATATTAAACAGCATTAGGAAAACTAATGCAGAAACCCAAAACTTTTGCTAAGCCAGCACTTTAAACTTTGCTTTAATCTCTGCATCCTAATCATCTTTATCCAACTGCTAGCTGCAAACCTATTTGAAGCCAATTTATTGACTACAGTGCTGAGATACACACCTTTACAGCTGCCCCCACTCCATTAATGTCCAAAAGGAAAGTGTCATGTCCGTAAAGAGAATTCAGCTCATAAAATGTCACTCCATTGTTTCCTAAATGTGTATCAAAGAAGCATAAAAAAATAAAAAAAAAAAATAAAAAAGGCAAGTATCTATAACCACCTAAGGTCATTTTTGAAAGATCATTACTGAAATTCTATAAGGTCTGTGTGTTAAAAGATATACTACAGTGAAAACTGAATAATGCAAACATGATAAAAAATGCTGTGTACTGAACATCTGAATTACCTGATTCCTGTAGGAGTTGGGCCAGTGTCCTCTGTTGCCAGATTGGAAACAGTATGTCTGTCTGTACACCGATCACCATCACAGGACATTTGACGCGTGATAATCCCTCCTTCAGGGAGCCGTAGCCCTCCCCCATGTCAAACAGATCCATGGCCTATATAAAAGAAACACCCAGTTAAAATCACCATTACATGATAAGCATTACATCTGTTACAGGAATATTTTTTGGAAAATCCTTAAAGTCCTAAGAGTGATAATTCTACTGTTGGATATACATGTATGAAATGTACATATGTAAGAAAGAAAACACAACTTGAGTATCATGCAGCAAATTTTTCTTACACATTACCATTATCTAATTTAGCTCGCAGTACTTACAGCATTAGAAAATGTTTATTGCTCCATATAATTAAACAAAAAAAATTATTCGCAAGAATTTCGGGTGTAAAGTTGATTTTAATTCAATTCAATTTATTGACATCACCATGTTGGCATACAGTCAAAATAAGAAATCAAATGACAGATAACAGAAAAAAAAGAAGAATATTATAATTGCATGCAATTCAATTTTTCACAATTCCTTATAGTCCCTGGATTTGTTTTAAGAATAAGTGCACCTTCAAGTCAGCCCCACTGAAAATCTGTTTATATAAACATATTTATACAATGTTATCATTTCCTTCGAAAACATAAACAGTGAAGCAAACTCCAATTATCATACCCTAATGAAAACAAATCAAATTATATTCCCATACCCAAATATAAGGAAATTTCTCAGGACTTAAAAGGTAGAAAGGGTCATTATGCAAGCTGAGATGAAGAACTTCTACTATGCTCATGACTCAACCCTGATGGTCATGAGCATTTTTTTTTTACTGGATACACAAGTCCATGCCCCCCCCCCCCCCCCCCCCCCCCCCCCCCCGTTAACACATCCTCCCACTTACTTTTGAGATATAAAGCAGTGAGTTGGGGTCATATTTTGTGCCCCCCCCCCCCCCCCCCAGTTAACACATCCTCCCACTTACTTTTGAGATATAAAGCAGTGAGTTGGGGTCATATTTTGTGCTGAAACTCTCTCCTTGATACTCGAGGTAGCTCTCTATAGTAAAGGTGGGACAGAGGGTATTGGGACTGTTTGGGTCAATCCTCTGTCTACTGAACCTTTCGTCCCACTCAGGACCACTTCTGTAGGTCAATGTTGCAATCTCTCTGTAGAAAAAGAATTAGTTATTAGGGAAAAGAGATAAGGCAGCAACCTAACACCTTTACTCAAACAGTATTATCTGCATGCAATGAAATGCATTTTAATCTCTAATTTGAATCTTAAATTTCTTTTTCTAAAGCCAGAGACAGTATTTTGAAATAGATACAATCTGCATATACTCTTACTACTCTTTAGTCACCTGGCTCCAGGGCCATAAAACTTAGATGAGCTCACTTTTGATCTCAGTCTCACTTTTACAAAAGGAATATATAGTGAAAAAGTAAGACTGAGATCAAAAGTGAGCTCATCTAAGTTTTATGGCCCCGGGGTCTGAGTTTCTATGACTCAACCTCTAAAACTCATTAAGTGATAAGTTTGTTGACATACCTGGCTAACTTCATTCCCATTTTAGGATAAGTTCCATCATAGTAGTGCCCCTTGTTCCAATTTGGATCACTCATAATAGTTTTCCTCTGCAGGTACCTCATGGCAATGGAGGAGGGGTGCGACTGGGCACAGGAAGAGATGGAAATAATTCTGAAAAAGATATTGAAGTTTTCTTACATTTTACAATAGACAGTTCATTGCTTTGGTGATTTACTTTATATAATGACTCACCTGCCCACTCTTTCTGGATACTCAGCTGTAGCCATTAAGGACAGCATCCCTCCAAGAGAGGAACCCACACAGGCATGGAGCTACAAATACACCAAGCTAAATTAATATTATGTCACACAAGTCTATACAGTCTTCGTCACTAAAAGCCCTACTGACTTCTGGTTTCATAGAATTTCAGGCCAAATCTTGTATGCAGTCAACCCGCCCCCCTTCTTTCAAATGATCATACCTTGTACAATATCAACATTTTATTTATTATTTAATTACCTGTTGAGACTTGTACACATGTTCAATATCACGATCCGTTTCACTTCTTATGCTTTAATACATGTAATACACTTCTTACGCTTTAATACATGTAATAATATGCAAAATAAATTTGGCATCCATATAATCTTTGAGCCCTTTGGGCTTGCTTTCACTGACTCTCTATCAGCCACACAGCAAATCAATGAGTCTGTGCCACTGAACAGGGTTTTTTTCACACATATAGTATATGTACAATAAGTTTTGTTGATAGCAAACATGCCTCTAGAATTTTTGTTGTTGCATATACATTGCAAAGTTTAATGGATTGTAAGAAAAGCTACTGGTTTCATCATTTTTCCTTGAACATCAACTTTCAATTTTTTTTTCATGATTGACCTAGACAACAAAATTACATAATCAAAGAAGCACAAAATTTACTTCTGATAGAATAGGCCTAGGAGGCTGTCCACAAATTGACATATCAATATATTGTGTTTTTTGCTAAAATATAAAATTTGATCCCAAGAAAATGAATAAAACCTTAAAGCAATATGAGCTGCATTTTTGAGAATTTTATTTTGCTGTTAAAATGTGTTATTATGATAAATTTGTATGTAATTTAAACCTTTTTAATCAATTAGACAGAACTAAAGTATTACATTGTTTCAGATAAAGGATTCTGTACGATCAAATAAGTAGTATTATATATAAGAAACCAATATTGTACAGGACGACAATAATGTAATTTTGCCTCAATCAAAGCTTATAAATAGTTCTTCCATCGTAAATATGAACAACGGAAGTATATAAACAATCTTTTTTCTGTCATTGAAAAAGCTAATTACAATTTTGCAACAAAAATCTCTGACATCAAAGTTGCAGCTCATATTGCTTTAAAATAGGCAAATTAAAAAAAACAAACAAACTAAACACCTTATCAATTCCAAGCTCATCCAACAACAGGAAGTTGGCCTTTACCATATCATCAACACTGATCAATGGAAAGGTGGTGGCATATTGCTACAAAGAAAAACTCCCCATTAGTCAACTAACTGTAACAGCACATGAAGATATTCAACATACATTTTTTGATACAGTACCATCATAATAATTAAATATGTTACAAGATTCTGATGGTTAGATTTTATGGAAAATCTCCTTGGAACATTTACTACAATGTAATGAGACATGACATTTAGATAAAAAATAGTTTTATATTCTTCTTTATTTCAGATTTGTACATAAATTGTTCTGATAAGTTGTGTTGTAACTGACATTCTCTCTTCATACTTATATAAAAGCTGCTGCACTTTGATAATAATTTTGGCAAGAAACGGATATCAAAGATTGAAAGAAATGTCAACAGCTGCTTTAAATATTAATTCAAGGGCTCTGAATAGAATATTCAATAAGCCGAATCCTAAGCTATGCTGTTTTCTCCTACCTTGCCAGTGAGGGGATTGATAGACGATGGACCCCTGAAAGAAAAATAATGGTGATGTCTGGATCTCCTGGTACAAATTAATGTGCACACTAACAAGTTCACCTGAATTTGTACATGCACATCTCATATACCAAGACATATAATCAAACTGTCCTGTTTTATTGTTTTTTTTATACATATATACTTTGAACAGCTTGGAATGCTGGACAAAGTATTCACTTGGGTATAGGATATGTCCACCCAATCATTGGGTGTTTGAATTTGAACAATAACTGAATACTCTATAGAATTTTTTTCAAAAATGCAGACTTGTATCTCAAATGCTGTCATAATTGTAGATTTCATATTTCTAAAAATACATGTCAATTTGGCCTTGAAAAGTAATTTTAAAAAGTTTAAACCAGTTATTTGTAAAGTATGTCATTATTCATTTCTCTTTTTTTGTGAATATATAAGTGATAATTTTCATTTTATTCCAATTTTTGTGTGAAGTTCTGATCTTATATAAGTTTTGATGGTCTTGAGGTTCACTCATCACCTACTTTTCATTTATTTATAAGTAAATTAACATGCAACCAACTGGTGTGTTTTTTTTTTTTTTTTTTTTACATTGCCATGGCATGTTTAACTCTGTTACTCCGATGATTAATCAAAATCAATTTGAAAAGCATCATGCACTTTTCAAACACCTGCCAAATTTTAAGTCCTTGTTTTTGTATTTTCTCAACTCTTCCCGGTTTGTTTTTATGATTTATTTACTTTCTGTTAAATTTATAACTTTATTGCATTTCAACTTAAAAACTGAACAAAGCAAACATTAACACAGTGAATTTTTTCTCCTTAACAGTAGTTCCGATAAAAGTCTATACTACAAGAATAAATACCGGTAATTTTTATCTGAAATTTATGTGTAGAGCTAAAAGCTGCCATAAAAAGTTGATAAAATATTTCTTCATACAAATAAATAAGAAAGGGAAACAGGCAATGCATAAAAATACCCTATCCAGCTGCATGGAATGCTTTTATTAACTTAACAATTTTCATGTCATAGTATTCAACACATGGCATTACAACTGATTATTGAAATATAGTCATTTTTCTACAGACAAACACATAAGCAGATTCCATTACATTTGAAAGCACAAATAGAAATGATAATCAGTCAAAAATGTTTCACCCTCACTTACGTGGTGCCATAGCAGCTCCCCAGGTTGTTTGGACAGATCACAAAAAACTCGTCTGTATCCACTGCACATCCAGGTCCAACAAATTTTTCCCACCAGCCTGGCCTTAAGTTTTTCTTCAAATAAAAGGGATCTAGTCAGTTTTCCAAAATTTTAAAGATTTTACCTCCTGAAATTAAAATTACTACATTTGTATTCATACTTTTCTTCAAAATTGAAAGGCCACAGGTAGCTATGAAAATTATATTGTACACCAATAGGCATCTAAAAGAATGATGTACACTTTGTCAATAAAAATACTGTCTATAATTAATGTACCCAACAAAATGAGAAAAAGAGTATGTAATTGTAAAGTATCCTTGTAATTATTATTTTTTTTGCATAACCTGGTACTTTAAAATCACTTATTTTCATAGGGTTAAATTTTGGTGGTTTGAAGAAAAATAACCGATTCCAGGGGAAATGGTTCTGTTGTTGAAGGATCGAGAAACACCATACTGCAGTATGGGATTTTAATATTTTGTAGGTCTCTTAATTCCACAAAAACAATGAAAATTAAAGCCTTATGAAAATTAGTGATCTCACAGTAAATAAAAATTGCTATAACCAGTGATGTATACAAAACTTCCTTCTATATATGGTTAAAAAAGTTAGTACCCTGTGACTTTTAGCATGAGAGCTTGCAGACAAACCAGCTTGGATCATCACAGCATTGCTCTTGCTCTCATTTAATTTTCCCCATGTCTCATATGCCACATCTATTCCTGGTAGTCTGGCTTTGTTGTACTTCATTTCAAATGGGTGTGGGTAATGGAAGACTTTATAGCCAGATATAATCTTGTCATACTCTGGTTCCGGGCCATTCATCTTACTAGAACATAAACGTCAAGATATTAACTACAGCTTGATCACAGAGGCCCAGACAGTATAGTATATGGGAACATGTACAAAAAGTTAAACAATACCAGGGACCTATATACTAATACTAGTTAGTATATAGGTCTCTGACAATACCAGGGTTCGACACTTGTTAAAATTTGGTCTCGCCATTTGGGCAACCTTGGTACTGATATTAGGTTGCCTGAATGAATTTCAGGTCGCCCGAACAAAATATCAAAAGAAACAAAAATGTACTATTGTTTAAAATTGTTAAGATAACAGAGGTTGTGCTATTATAAAATGTAAATCAAATGTTTTTGGAATATCAAAAGCTGTCTTCCAGTATATTATCAAACAAAGAAAACAAGCAACAAATATTAATAAGCAGAATCAGAATGCTAATTAATAGGCTTTAAAAAAATTATGTTTGTTTCATGTATAATATTCCCAATAAATCAAGGGTTGGTAGGATGGGATTTTATTTATTTATTTATTTTTTGCTAATATACAATCTCACCTCACATATTGACACAAAATAAAAAGTTTCTAGTTTAAAAACATTCATTTTCACTTACCAAAAAGGCCTTAATAAACAAAAGGGGTCAAACATCCCTGGACTGAATTAACCAGGTGTGATGTTTACAGTGGACACCCAACATGGCTGTCTAGCAGCAGAAAACTAACATCAGAAAGTTGGGGGGGGGGGATACTAAATGTTACAATAATGATCATTACTCTTTATATTTATGGTGATTGTTGACAAGGTTTACATATTTTATATCTCAAATAAAACTTAATTTAACACTTTTGGTAAAAAATTACATCAGCTGATTGATCAAACACAGATTTGGCAGAAAGAAAAATCCACACGGCTGCTAATTGAATGGGTCGGTTGGGTTACAGGAAACAATGTTTTCAAGGCCTTATAAAGTTTATTTTTAAATATTAAATATCATTATTGAAAATTCCCACGTCCCAGGTCGTCATTTGGGCGAGCCAGACTGAAAATCAGGTCGTCCAAAATCAATTAGGGGTGGAAATGACGAGGTGAAGAGCGTGAATGTCGAACCCTGCAATACATATTAAATCTCTTTCTTTCGCCTTACAAAAGTAATAACACATTTTATTGCATTTTTAACAGTGAAATACTGTAATTTATTTACTGAATAAAAGTGCTATTCTTACACAGTGAGAAAGGATATCAAAATCGTATTCTCACAGTGTGAGAATATCAGAAGTGCGGCAAATTAAAACTTACGATTTTCCTTCCCTTCATGAAGAGTGTTTTTAAAAAAATCCCTATCCTGTTATAACATATAGTCAATGAACCATGCTGACAGAGACTAATATTATACTGCTAAAGTTTTTCCAAATATGTCGTTAAAAATCCATGTTTACAATGTTTTTCAATCTTGTAATCGCTTAGCTATGACGTCTCAACCGCTCAACTATGACGTCACACTGTGTAACGAAAAGACAGAGGCAAAGAGAAAATCTAAGAAAATGTAATAAACAGAAAATGCAATGTTTTGTAGATGAATATGGAATTTATTTCACTCGTGAGACAGGATTTTTTTTTTATATTTTCACTCGTGCTTCGCACATTGAAAATATCAAAAAATCCTGACCCACTCGTGAAATAAATTCCATATTCATCTACAAAACATTGAATATCCTCCAACTACACCTAACTAATATGGAGCTATATTAAAAATAAAATCACTATACTTCTTTGTTAAGCATGGGAAATCTGTGGACATTCCTCTGAACAATTCCTCCGGATCATCAGGAACTTCCAGTTGAGGAAGCTGGCAAACCTGGGATCGATGTTCTTTTTGGTACAAAATAGCTGGTTGGCTGTTTGACGACACCTGTGTGTGAAATGAATTTGTGCCTCTTTTTACAAAATCTGGAGCCACAATACGACGGCAACCATTTCGAAGTTCTTCTTGCGAAAAATTCTTCAACAAAGTATTACATAAAATTGAAAAACTTCTTTTCTTCATGATTTCTTTCCCATCAACATCAACCCAAAGTCACAATGTGAATATCAACGCAACTGGAGTAAGAAATAGAACAATTTCGGGTTTGACACTCTTTTCACAAAACGAAAATCGTATTTATATAAAAGAAAGAAGTTCTTTTTTCACTCAGTTTAAACATAAACATCATATAAAAATATAATTGAAAATTACTAAACAATTTTTTTTATATTTCAAACTTAGTAGTATATTCTTTTGAGTTGAATAATCAACATAACGAAAACTTTCGTTTTGTCTTAAAACAAATCTCAAAAGAAATTTAATTCGGTCAAATTTTTCTAACACGTGCGAGATGCATGCCTGGAAGTTGCTCACACACCTGACATCAAACAAATATTCTCGTTCAAAGGACAACAATGAGCATAAGCTCACCCAAAAGAAGTTTTTGAGAGCATATGATTCGGATTTTTTCCATCAGTAAAAAGTTAAACACAATCATCATTTTCATATGATAATGCAAGAATCAGGAACAACTCTGCACAGGTGATCAGGCTAAATTAAGCAAATTTAAACTCAAAGCACACCTGTCAGCGAACCCACCGTGACAGAGCTCTAGGCTAGAAATTTGACTAATCATGCTAATTGTCTCCCGCCTTTGCTAAAAGCGGGTAATATTGATTTGCGTCTGTCTGTCTGTTTTTCTGCATAAAACACGGTATGTGGGTATATCGGTTCTAAGTACTGAGAGCCGGGCTCATTTACAGAGTAGTGAACAAGACAGTTTTACATGAAACATGCATTGTAATATAACATAATGTAACATAATGTAACAGATAAATAACAAGAAGTTCAGAAACTGGAAGAATATAATACCAAACAGGGATAGAATTAATACATTTAACAATGGGTCTATCAAAGGTATCGTTCTGGAGTCATAAACCATGCAAGCAAGGTCAAACGTTTGTGCTCGGATGAGTCCTCAATGGAGAGTTTTGCAGCAATTAAGGTGTATATCAGGCCATGTGCTCTCTGCATTAGTGTTAGTCTGGTAACAAAACCTGTATTGTATAGAATTTTGCAGACGGGGAACAGATAAAAACCCATTAGTTTGCATATTTTAGACGGGAATGAAATATATTTTGTGTAGTAATACCATTAATCAGGGCTAAACATGAACTTCAAAACAAACTAGACCAAGAGGACTAGTGCCTATCAATGAACTCAATCAACTTCAATTAAGACCTGACCTTATATCCTAATGGATCATTGAATGACTTCAGACTAATATTACAAGAATATAAACATGAAGAAAAAAAACCCAACAGTCGAATAACAACGTCAATGGTTATTATAAATTGGTTTTGGTGCAAAACATTTATTTTAAAAAATATTATCATGATACATTAATCTTTTTATATAATTTTTTTTTAAAATTTAATTTACAATATGAACTGGTTAATACTGAGTTCAAGAAAATATCAGAAAGGGAGATGTATCATATTTCAATTTGAATGTAGTTCTAGGCCTGGTTGAATTAAAATATATACTGTGCAACAGTTGTAAATAAAAAGGCTTAAGGAAGCATTACTCTTGGTAGAGATAATTTATGAGAAAATCAAATGGCAGTAAGATTAAAGAATTATATATATATATATATATATATATATATATATATATATATATATATATATATATATATATATATATATATATATATATATATATATGTATGTATGTATGTATCTATATCTATATATATATATATATATATATATATATATATATATATATATATATATATATATATATATATATATATATATATATATATATATATATATATACTAATCAAAGTGTAGTTAATTTGTGTGTTGTATAATTAATGTCTCACAATTGGTAAACAATTATAGTACAATAAAACAAGGAGAGTTTTCCAAAACAACTTTTCATGGAAAGTGAAACCTGATCTAACACATTGATAAACAAGAAAATTCCCTAAGGCTAAAGAACAGTTTTGTTTCATATTAAATTGTTTCCTGATGAAAAATATATAAGTTCTCTTGTATAGCTTTGCAATGAAAATGTCACTATGATGACTCTTCCTAACATAAGAAATACCCCCCAATAGATTCCAAGGCCAAAAGGTGAAAGGTCAAGGTTATAAATTCATGTTTGATATAAAATAGAACTGTAGTTTTATTAAGCTTTAACGATGAATTTATTACTTCTATTACTTCCTATATCATAAGATAAAGACCCTTATTTATTTGGGGGTCAAAAGGTCATAGGAAAAGATTAAACATTCATCATTGGATTGTTTCCAAATGATAACTTTAGTTCTCTTCGACCTTTGCACTATTGATTTTGAAACCAAAAGGTCAAGGTCAAAATTCATATATATGATATTAAATAGTTTCCAAAGGATGACTGCACTTAAGGACATGCGGAATTTGCGACAAAGTAAACTTTCAAAACAAGCATTTTTCTTTTCATTGCAAGAATGGTCAACATCCAATCTACAACTTTATGTAATTACGTTTAATAAAAGTGTGTATTTACGAAGTTCAAATCTGTTTTCAAAGGCAGGGGTCATCACAATTTCTTGAATCTCCGTTTGATAATGAGGACGCCCACTTTTTTACTGACTTTATACATAGTCAGCGCATGTTTGTCTATTGTTCTACGTTTAACAGTAGTTGTATATTTGCATAAATAATAATGTGTTAAAAGGAGATTAATAGACAAACATGCGCTCATGATTAAAAAGAGAAAAAACTGCTTCTTCTTACATTCGCTCTCTGTGTTGTAACCAAGGATTGTGACATGTTGAATATTATAATTCACCACGTGATTTCTTACTTCAGGTAACTTTGTGAATACTAAATTCCGTCACGTGACTTGTAAAGGTAGCATGTTTTGTGTTAACTAGGACACTGTGTTCGAACACGTTAAGTCATCTGGCATTGATATAAAATCTGCTTTAATTACATTGACGTGCTCATATTGTTAATTTCGTTTTGAAACCTTTGTTAGAAGTGTATTTGTGCCATACAGAATGGAGAGGGAGACTGGAAAGAGTGATCACATTCTTTTTTTTCAAACATGTCATTGTTATTTATCAAGTCTAATTTTAGACCCATTCTTACAATGTTAGCTCCACCTCTCATGCATATCTAATGTTCAATCAAGGGCAGGTAAGTGTAAATTCACTATATTTGGAAAGCAGTAAGGACAAAAAACATTGAATCATTTTATTGTATCACAGTCTAAAATCATTTTAAGATTTAAATGTGGTTCCAAATTGACAGTATTCTTTCATAAACACACAAAAGTGAGATAAGGTTTAGATATAAAAGCAAGAGAAGTAACCGAAAAAGACCCAAAAACAGGCGTTAAGTGCAGTCATCCTTTACTTAAATACTGTCAAGACTATTGATTTTGAGATGAAAGGGTCAACGGTCAATTTCACAACCTTGCATATTGACGTGAATTGTTTCTGGATAATATCTCACATAAATCTCTGTCCCTAAGGACCCACTATATACACTGCACACTAAAGAATTCTAATTCCATGGAATTTTTATAGTTTAGTGATCTCTTATATATCTAAAATAAGATAATTTGAAATTTGCGATGTATTACGTACAGGTACTCAATTTGTAATCAGTTTATTAGTATTCTTAACATATTGGTTTGCAAAAGTAAATTTATCAAACAGTGACTACCATAAATGCATGTACTTTCCCCACTTAAGTAAACAACAGTGATTTCTATTCATCAAGACATAGATGTTTTCAAATTTAAATTTGACATATTACATTTAGATTTCGGTATCTAAAAAACTGTTATCTTGAATACCATGACTATGTTGTTTTTAGCACTACTGGTCAGAGACAGTGTTTGAAACTCACTGCAAAATTAGCCAGACATTCAGGGCTGACTGCAAGTAAAAGTTGTCAGTCCTGCCCAAGATCTACTAGCCCGGGAAAATACTTGTCTTTTATAAATTTGTTTTTTAATAATTATGTGACTGGAACCAGGTCACCATAACTTCGAACCTGAAACTATAGACTGATGAATTCTTCCTCTTGGCTTGTTACATTTTGCTACCAATACTATTAGTTGATGTGAAAGAAATTTATCAAATATATGAATTTTAATTATTGAAAATTTTAACATGTCCAGCCGTGCGCCAATACATGCAAATTTGTTCGCCCGCTGCAAAGTTTGTGCGTCTCGGGCGGTCGGGCGCACGGTTATTTCAAACACTGGTCAGAGACCAGAAGAGCTTAAGTGATAGTAAGGTGTTGGTTGTCTGTCCATCCATCTGTCTGTCAAGCTGTCTGTCTGTCTATCTGTAAACAATTTCCTCCTACAGTTTTTTTTATTTTGATAAATGGTGTTGCCCTGGTTACTAAAAATAGGAATTTCTGTGAAATACTTCAAAAATGCTACTCCTCCTATAGTTTTGGTCTAATTTCAGTATAACTTGACACACATGTAGACTACACTAAGATACTTGATTTTTTCTACCAGTTTTTGATTTTCATGAATGGTGTTGCCATGGTTACTAAAAAAATTTGATGCAATACTTTAAAATTGGTTCTCCTCCTACAGTTTTTGTCTGATTTCAGTATAACTTGGCATACAAGTAGACTACACTAAGATACCTATTCTTATGTGTCTTTTTTTTTTTCTTCTTCGGATGAATGGTTACTAAAAATAAAAATTTCTGAGAAATATTTTCAAAACACTACTAATAAAATTTATCCTAGATGATTTGACCAAAATATTTACAAATCGGTGGCACTTAAAAATTAAATGAAAATATGAAAAGGAAGAGGAATTTGTAACAAATTTATTGATGTATGCATATACAATGTTTTATTATGCTTTCAATAAATAATCACGCAAAGTTTGAGAGAGGTGAGGCGAATGACGAGAAAAGAGTTGCAAGCCTTCTCTCTCTTTATGTATCAGTTGAAAATGATATATTTAAAAACAGCTTATTGAGACAAAAGGGTTACGTTATCGACATCAGGTAGTGCATATTAGAGTAC